TTGATGTACTCACTGAAGCAAGTCTTCTTAAAATTGTGTATTTCAACCTGTATTTTATATTTGTTATATTTGGCTATACCTGATTTGTATTTTATTTTATTTTTATTTTTCAAACTCTGTTACAGGATAATGGCATCAGTAGTCGACCTTTTAACACTGTTTTATACCTTGATATTTTTTATTACAGGTAACCCCCGTATAACACGGTAGTTACGTTCCAAAAAATTGCCATGTTATGCGAATTCGTGTTATACGAAACAAAGAACTAATACGAAAAGGAGGGTTAGGTTCCAAAAATTAAAAAACATGCTAGTATATTTTCATAATTAGGATAAATATCTTCATTAAAATTTTTTAAGTGATACATATTAATATAAATTAAACAATGTTTTCTTCGTCATCACTAAAAACACTATTAATTAACCGAGAGCGTTTTCTTTTTGGCAAGTTATCCTTATCCTCTGAGCATTTTTCTGCATTATCTTCAGATCCATGCTTTACCTTTTGCAAAATGTATGTAATTTTAGATTGCTTGCTTCTAGTTAAAAGGTCTTTATAAATTTCCTTATATGGTGCTAAGCACTTATGAAGAATAAAGCAAGTATGGAATAAGGGAAAAACATTCGGCAACATCAGAAGCAGAAGCGTCGCGATCTGGCAACATTGAAACAAGTTTCGAGAAGGACCACGTGTATCGACAGAAGGCGAGAAGAGAAAATTTACATACTTAAGTACTAATAGTTCACGAAAATAATAATTTTCGTGAACTATTATTACTTAAGTATGTAAAAATTTATTACATTTCCTGTTGTACGAGGGTTTTACCCAATTCTCGAACCGTGTCAGAGTGAATCCGTGCTATAAAAGTACCGTGTTATACGGGGGATGGTACCAATTCTCGAACCGTGTTAGAGCAAATCTGTGCTATAGAAGTGCCGGGTTACCTGTACAATGTGTACAATTATTTTTTATGATGAAAAACAAATTTATATATGAAAATAAAGTTTGTTCTATACATGTCACAGGGGGAAAACATTTTTTATTAGACCTTTGTTTACATTATGAAAAATATAATTTAATCACTAGCTGTTCATCCAGCAGTCAACCAGCAAGTTGCATGATCATTTTTGGCAATTGGGTTTTCCTTCATTGAGAGCCTCACAAATGTGGCCACTACAAAAGGATAAGCAAACTCAATAATAGGCATTTTGTAGAAAGCACATACCTGAAACACAGATGCCTTCTTATCTACTAAAGACCAAATAATGTCTCACTGTGGTCGACTACCAGAAAGGTTGTTGCACATTAATTTTTCCCATCATCATTAGTGAGGCAACCTGGAGCCATATTCTGGTCACTGTCTTTGGTTTCTCGTCTCTCACAAGCTGGTCACTGATTAGCTAATCATTTGGCTTAGCCAATCAGCGACCGGCTAGTGAGAGACGAGAGACCAGAGACAGTGGCCAGAATATGGCCCCTGTTATTCTTACATGTCAATGAGATTTTCTTATGATGTTTCTTGTGTAGATGGCTTGCCTAAACCTGCTCTGATGGACTAATTATGTATGGATTTTGGCTTACACAGTCAACTACTGGAAGCAGTTGACAATAAGCACTTCTATTCTATATAACAGAAGGAAAGTATGGCAATAGGTCAAAAAATGACCCCCCAAATATTATTTGGACTCAGGGGACCTTGCAACATCAAGAAATGCAAAACACTTTGGGATATTTTTTTTATGTATGGATGTCTAATCACAAAATCTCTTCAGCATCCAGTAAAAGATGGAAGATGAAACAAATCACAATTGTTTTTGGATTCCACCTGATTCCAACTTCAGGTTGAAATAGTTTGTATCTAATTGAAATGCATTGAACAGAATAGTTGTCATCTTCCATGTTTTACTGGATGTTGAAGAGGTTCTGTGATTAGATGTTAATACAGTAGACCCCCCCATAACGCAGATTCATATAATGCGGATTCGTATATCGCGGTGAAAAAATTGCGACTGTATTCATATAAAGACGCTAACAGAGACTCGTAAAATGCGGTAAAATGTCATCGCCAACTCGTGTCGCGACAGGATTGGTTGAATCTGGAGCAATAGTGGACGAGCAGCTGAACTACTTACATGCTACAGAGTTTAGGCGAGTAAGTTGAGTTTACTATCATCTGTACAGTATATAGGCCTAAATTAGGTACTGTAACTCTAATACCGTAATGTAATTTTATACATTTCTTGTTTCATACATACATTTCTTATTCAACGGCCATAAAAATTATTTCTATTAATGATGTCTCCAAAGTTCAACGAATTTTTCGCAGAAAAATAACTTATCAGAAAATGCACCTACCGTTTAGTGTGCTGCTCCGCAACGAAAACAAGCTTAAGCAATGGCGTCATCAAACGGTGCACAGCTGGTAAGTAATCCTAAAATTTTTTGTTTATAGCATAGTTTATATGGATTATTCCTAAAAAATTATACATGTTTTGGAAATGTTGAGTCAAATTACTCTAGAATCGATTAATTTTATGGAAGAAAACCTTTCAAACAGCCATAGTCCATAAACTGCACACATGCCAGGCTGTGATTGGCTCATGTATTTGAGGATTCCTACAACACGAAATTCTTATAAAGTGGAATGTATCTACCATGTTATGGGAGGGTCAACTGTACATTTCTACTAATAGAAAAGTACATTTTTGCAGGGATTTTTGTGTATTAGGGGATTGATGCTACTAAATTTTGGTGGTTACAAGTTGATTGGATGACAAGATAAAGGAAATGTTGTGTGACATATCTCAAATAGAGTCAGATTTAATGACAATTTTCCTTGTTATTAGAATTTACAATTGTTTATAAAATCCATCCCTACCCTCAAAATTAAGCTTTTTGTCATTTTATAATAATCAAAATATAAAAAGTTTTTTAATAAAATATCATAACAGATGGAGCCCCACACAGTTTTAAAATGTTGCCAGAAAAGTTAAGCAACTTGTTGCTGGAATTTATTTATTTTCTATTTGATTATATTAACACTTATTAGTATGTATATATTATTTCATGTGTATTTATTAATATAAGTATTTGAGATGCTATTTGTATTCAGATTTTAATTTGAATTTTTTGTGTTCCTGTTCCTTTACAGTTAACTACTTGAACATTCAGTACATTTTGTTCCGCAATGATCCTGATGTTGATCTTTAAAAGAGATCAAAACTGTTTGACAGTTAACTTAATTTTACTATTTTAGTGTGTTTATTATTAATTAATAATTCATTACCAAAGATTTATAATAGACATAATAAAATCTGAAATAATTTCATGTGATTAAATTAACATCTATGATTTTTTTTAGTATAATATTCTATTGAACAGGAAAGATCTGCATTTATGTATATGCTTTCCATTAAACATTTATTTGCACAAAGTAATAAATTTTTATAGGAGAATAATAAAATAAATTAAATTTTTAAATGAAAACTTGAAAATAACATTAACATGCCAACAGAAATAAAAATTAAAATTAATATTTGTTCTACATAAAGTATGAAAAGAAATAAATATGTCTTCAGTTAAAATTTTTATTCAAATATATAATAAAACTAGAAAAAACCTTCACTCAAAAGCAGTACTATTAAAACTGTTTTATGCAAAATCTTGTTAAATAATATTTTTAGGAACCTTACAATCATATTTAAATTTATAATAAAATTTTTATTTAGAAAATATAGAAAATTATCTTGAAAAATTTTTTAAATTAGTNTAATAATAAAAATTATAATTAAAAAAATTTATTTTTATTAATTTTTTTCTACTAAATATCTGTAGAATTTCACAAAATTCAAATTCAATAAGAGTTAGTTTAGGAAAATTGAAAGTTTAAAAACTATTGATTTAATTAAAGCACTGTTAGAATTTCATTTTATGCATAAAATGAAATGAGATGAAATGCATAAAATTGCATAAAATGAAATTCTGCATAATTTGTGCCATATCCCAAATACGGCCAGATACTTACATAAATTATTTACAATTAACAGAAAAACATTGAATGTATTTGCAACAGTTTACTTATGTATTTATACAGAATTTCAACAGTAAAAAATATCAGAATTATCCATGCATCCATACAAGGATTAATTTGAAAAAAAAAAACAAATTCATATATAAAGGGTTCAATCGTAAAAGATAGAATGTGCCATTTCCAATATGTTATAATGCATGCTAAAGGCTAAACAGCAATGTATTTCAATTTAAATATTACATTTACTTTTTAATTATAACATGCATTTTATTTTGATTAAAGAAAACAAAGCAGAAAACTCCTTAAAATGTTTAATTTTTCCATTTTATCTAAACTTTCATTAGTTCGTCTTTTACCCCAAACCCTTCATACATCAATCCTGCATAAAAATTCCGGGTAGAAATAATAATAATAAAAGTAAATAAGCTGCTTATATTCATTAATTATCTTTAACGTAACTATTTTTATATTTTCTTTATTCTATAAATATCACAGATGCCTTCCAATAAAAAAAAAATATTTCCTACATTTTTTGAAGCATTAATTTTGCTCTTATTCTTCCTTAACCAAAACTTCCTGGACGTAAATTATTTTAAACAAGACAAAAATTTTACAATTATTCAGTTTTTTCCCCATTTTTAGAAATGTAATTATTATTAAATTTATATAATCAATACGCATAAATATCACAAGTTCTCTAATAAACAACTTTCAACTTTTAAAGTTATTTATTTTGATTCTCAGACACATAACTCCAAAATACAAACATGACGCGCCGCGTCGCGTCGCGCCACATCGCATTGCATCGCAAACTGACGCGAGCTACACTAATGCGAAATTCAGGAAGCAGCAGCTATATTACTAACGTATCATATTTACACAAGTTTATTTTTAACTTTAATATATCATATATTCAGTTAAACAGTCGACAAAACCTTATTTTACATCATATATTTAGGAAAGTACTCACTTGATTGACTTAACGGGAGTTAAAGGTTTCTCTTCGGCGTCATAAAATTCTTCAACGTCGCTCTCAGACGACATTATTTTGATCGACGAATTATTATTATATATTTAAAAAAAAAAACTTAATTTATGCCAATTTTAATGTTTATAAAGAAAATTACACTCATTTTAAACGTATAATTCGCAAGCGAGTAGCCATCTTAATAACCCACATTAGGGTCAATTCGTAGATATTCACTCATGTTCCACATCGTATCGTATCAAACAGAATTGCAAAATTGATGATAAGACTTTTGAATTGATTTAGTCGACGAAAAAAATAATTATAATATAATTAAATTATAAAATAATTTATGTTATATTAATATAAATAAAATAATTTTGTTCACTTTAAAAAAAATTTCGAATTTTATTATTATTATTATAGTAATAAGGATAAATGAAATAATTAGGGGGGAATATAGGGAATTAGGGGGGTTAATATTTATTCGAAAGAATATTATTTAAAGAACATACAAATAATATTATTTAAAATTTTCGGGGTTTTTTCGACCCGACCGCATTCGATCCCGGTCCCCCAGAGCGGTAGGCTGACACCTTGACCGTTCGGCCATCCGGCAAAACTGTATCTAGGATAGCGATGTGGAAGTGTGCCACATCGATCAAAAACAATTTTATGTAAATAATTGACAAAACACAATAATATTTTTAATAATTTAATTATAATAAAAAAATTAAAACGCGTTTTGATTTTAATAAAGAAAAATTTAGGTGCAGTATATTTATTGAGGATGACCGAGATGGAAAAGCGTCAGCTTATCACTCTGGAACACAAGTTTGGGTCTTTGTTACTTTTTTGAAAATTTTCATGTCATTTAATTCAAATACAGTATATCAGACCCGTCTTTTATTATCCAGCCACTTCTATTGTAGGCCTGGTTGAAACAATCATGGTCATGAAAAAAGGACAGTCATATTGTTTGAAGTGCGCAAATATTAGAATAGGGACAAGAATTGAACAGAATAAATATAATGATAATCACTGTTTGACACGTGACAATTGTTGGTTATATCGCTAGATTCGGTTATCATTTATCTCGGACTGAAAAGGCACATAGTGGGATTTCAGTTGTTGCGAGCGAAAGACAGAAAAAAGTTATATTTTATTAATACAGTATCATGAAAAATCATGAAGACTCAAATCAGATTCAAACCATAATCTTTCACAACGGTAGACTAATCTTGCGGACAGAGCATTTTGCCAACAGGGAGATTACTGATCACATGGTTCGACTGCCAAGAGACGTCGCTTTAAAACGAATGCATCACGACATCGTTCAACTCCTGGACAACTACGTTTTGCTGAGTCCAAAATCACCATGGTTTCCAATGGTCGGATGGGTGAGACTTCGCCCACCGTATCCGTATCCCGCTTGACTAAGTCCAAGACCAAACAGCGAGCTAACATAAATAACATGAATGTCTTAGCAAGAAATAATAACGAGCCAGTATCGCCAGTCAACGAAAATGCAATGAGGAGAAAGGCATCGGTAAAGAAGTGCAAAGAACCCATTTCCATGACAGGATTAGATAGCTCCATGAGTCTTCCGTGAATTCATTAGAATTGCCACATGCCACCGTGTGCATAGATTCCGGTTTTCCTACAATTGACAATAGCTTATATAACGAACACTCTCTCACTCACATCAATTTAGGCAATTGTACAAATCGCCTACTGTCAATTAAGCAGCCTGTTTGTAAGGTGGCACCGCCGGCTTATCCTGACCAGTCCCAGATGACGCCGTCTCCGCAATCGCAGCATTTTCTCAGAACAACCAAAATCAAGCGGACAGTATCTATTTGAAAGTGCATTCGTAAGTGATTTTCAGTGGCAAATCATTCTCTGAATTTTTAGTTTTTAAAGGGAGTTAAAAAATATCCCTCCCGCTGTACTTATTTTTAACCCTTACGTTTAATCTTGTCTTTATGTCACCGAGATTCATTGAAACAATGAAAAATTATATAAAATTTCCTGTAATGTTGTTTGGATATTTTTTTATAGTACAACTTATTAATAAAAAAATAATAACAAAAATAAATGGAAGTTGTGGAGAAATACTCGATCTTTAGAGTATTCCCCTTGCAGGAACAAAGAAAATTAAACTTCGATGAGATAAATCAGGGACTCTATGACTCCAATGCAAGGAACTTAAAGTTTATCTTAGTCCACAAAAGAAACAACACAAAAACGGAAACAAATTCGCGACTATCGTCTATCCGTCTTCTCTCATTTTCTCAAAAGCACAACAGAACACGTGGTCTTCAGACCACAAATCAAAACATAAAGTAATAAAAGTAATAATAATGAACTTCAAAATATTGAAATCTTATATTAATTTGCTAACTTTTAGAATAACAAATTCCGAACACGATGGGAAAAACGCCATCTTGAAAAAGTGATGAGCAAAAAAAAACTTGCGTACTTTTTCTCTTTCCCTTGATAATTATGAGGATCGTGATAAGACGACCAGAAAGCTGAGGCGGTTAAGGTGTCAGCCTACCGCTCTGAAGATCCAGGCGATCCTAAATTGGATTTTCAGAGTAGGAATTTTTCATGGATGGTCCGTTACAGATATATTGGACCCCATCTATCACTATCCTGTTGCTCCAGACTAGACCTGGCCGAACGAACGATGGATATTGATTAAAACATTCCCACGGGATGTAAAGAAAAATAAATAAATAAAAAACTCAAACTACTGGGAATTAAAATAATTCGAATTACAATTAGAGATGACGACTTTTCACGAAGGAAAAGGGAACGTGCTAAAAAAGCATACAACTCTGTTAATTTTTAAGAACATCTCTGACTAATTGGCCCACCAGTGACCAAGCGGTTCCCTTCCCTGAACACCGGGAATTCGGTCGTGGATTAGCGCCTCGCCAGTTCGGGCTGGTCACGTGAAGTTTTCCGGATTTTCTCCACGTCTGTATGCCTGAATAGGGACCAGTTACTATTAAAAAGATCTCCCGGATGGCATTCCCCTAGACAGATCGTCCAAGTGTTGAATCGTCGTAACTTAACAAAATAAAGCAATCAGCAATGACAATAAACAGTATGACCGAAGCAGAAAGCTTACTATTCTGGAGATCGGGTATGAATCCGAACGAGAAACTTCGATACTCACCATGATAGGCCTGAGCAAACTCACAATAGTCACGGAAAAGAATTATTACCTTTCATTGCCCACAAGAAAAGTAAAAAATTAAAATAATAATAATAATAATGATTATTTACAAAAATGAATACCTGTTTTTTTAAAACTATATTGTAAATTTGATTAATTAAACTTATTGTATAAATTTTATTATAGATACGTTGATTTTTCAATATAATGTTTTGCAAAATTTTACATTAAACACCGAAAGTTTGTTAGTAACTCTTTTTGCCGTATACATACTAAGAGGGCTTTTTCAAACCTCTTTCCACCCTGTTGGCACTAAGAGGGCCTCTTTTTAGCAAGCCTATTATAGGTTCGGCCAAGCCCACAATGGGACGTCCGAGTGGTGAGGGATGGGCCCGACATATCAGAACGAATTCGGTCCCAGGTCCTCCAGTGCTGTAGGCTGCTAACTTGATCACTCGGCCATCCGGCCACGGCTTATCATAGGTTTGGCGACAATAGTGCCAGTCGGTGTTGAGAGACAAGGCCGAATATATCTGAGACGGTCTTCCCCCGAAACTTCTGAAATTTTCTATCCATCCTGCTTCGTTCCTGGAAGTGGCAGGCTAACACCTTAACTGCTCGGGCATTCGGCCATTATAGTCATAATACTTTCACGAGCAATTGAAATATAAAATTTAAATATCAGTTACAGTTAATTGACAGCATATTTTTGACGAATAAACAGGTTTTGTAGTAGGCTTACGTAAGTCTACCACCAAGTAAATTGTACAACGGCCCCTGTAAAAAGTATTTGACTTTTCCTAGTGTAGGTATCCTTAAACACTTGTTGTTTATGGGCCGGAGGCCGAGGCGATTAAGGGGCCAGTTTACTTCACTGGAGATCACTGATCAAAGTCCCAGGAAAGGTCGAAAAATCCTAGAAATTTTTAGGGATCATATATACTTGAGATGTCACGCTTCGTTTCTCACTACCCAGCAACCCCATTTTGGGTCTGTCCTAACTCACGTAAGCTTAAAAAATAACCCCTATTAATGCACAGGTCGAAAGGGACAAGAAAAGAGATATTATTGAGATTCAAAATGGCTTTGAACTAATAAATATTTTGTGTTTCGTAATTAACGAAAATTGATATATATCAGGACATCCCTCAACTATGCAGGTTGGTTCACCAATATCAAGTTTTTCAAAAAATTCGAAATTATAGGCTAAATATAATTTCATTATATATACGTTGTAGTGTTGTAATTCGAAACTAATGATAGATTTAAAGAAAAATTTAATAGATTATTCGAATCTGTAGATAAAATTTTAATTCTTATTATAACAATTTTTCTACCGATAATTTTCAGTAATCTTGAAATCGAAGATAACTAAGTTATCGAAATTTATTATGCGTCATATTTTGCAGCACAGAGATATGACTTATCTGTCGGTGTATAAGCATATCTGTTTATGCCTACATTGAAATGTCAGTAAAGTATTAAAAATTTACATAAAATTTGAAAACTAGAAGGAGGAAAAAAAACATAATGAAAAAAGCTTCTATATTTTGTAAATACAATAAATGAATTTATATCGAATACTTCTAAATGACAAATGGATAACTAATACTAAGCAACCAATGCCGTTTCGTATGAGACGGGAAAAGTATGCCATTGTTTGTTTACTTAGCTGCTTGTCCTCAATGTTTATACGAGGTCTGTTCAAAAAGTATCGGACTTTTATTTTTTCCGCGTAAACCAATGATGCGCGGGAGGACTCTTTCGGTGGAGTTGTGGAGGGGCAGTCATGCATAGCCCTGAATTTTTTCCCGCCTGCAGGAAGCGTCAGTCGCTGGCAGTCGGCCTATGAGTGAGAACGTGTAGTGAGCTCTCGTCGGATTCCACTAACTGTAAGTTGGAAAATGACTCAACAACGTGAGCAGCGATATTACATCAAATTTTGCCAAAAACCTTGGCGATACCCAAGTGTAAACCATTCTCAAGATTCAGCAGGCTTTCGGGGACGATCCTCGAGGCCAAAAAAGCGCGGCAGGTCCGCAGCAATACAAAGGTCATGTTGACAGTTTTTT